TTCTCTCTCTCTCTCTCTCTCTCTCTCTCTCTCTCTCTCTCTCTCTCTCTCTCTCTCTCTCTCTCTATATATATATATATATATATATATATATATATATATATATATATATATATATATATATATATATACATACACACACGCACGTATTTCTTGGGATACAAAGACAAGTTGAAGCTTGGCTTGGTGCTAAAAGCATCATTATCATTATCATCATTATCTTATCTTATCTTATATCTTATCTTATCATACATACTTATAAAGCTAGCATTTTTTCTTGAATCTCATGCATTTGAAACCCCCTTTTTTAACTAATGCAACTCAAAAGTTTTCTTAATTATGATTTAACACTCAAAAGTTTTATAACTTATATTATGTTTAATTAGCATTTAGTGAAAAGTTTACTATAAAAAGGTCAATCTTTTGTGTCTTTTGTGTTATATAAAATCTTACATGTAAGAAGGATGTCATAACATCAATGTTTTGCTTGGAATATCTTTCAACCAAAACAAATGAAGTTTTTATATTCTTTCTTTATATTCAGTTTCTCATTTAATCGTTATATGTGATTTGTGTGTATTACTCAATCTTGAATGTGACTCTCCAAACATCAATGTTTTGCTTGGAATATCTTTCTGATTCTTCTTTTTCAAGAAAAATATTTTGATTGCAGGTTAGTGAAGAATTTTCATCAAGTTTCTAAGGTTGAATGGTGTTAAATGAAGAAAGAAGATTCAGAAAACGGATATAAGTTTTTTTTGTTTGAGCAAAGTTGACAAATGTTAGTTTTTTCTTTTGATTTAAATGTATGTTTATGTAACATCTTTATTTATATATTCAACCACCCAATGCTCTTATTTATTTGATTGTAGTTTTTCTATTTTGATTATGTTTATTTTCTATGATTTTTTTGTTGGTTATCCTACACAACATATTTAAAAGACAATATTTAAAAGATAATATAATTTTTAACATTTGATATGTAATTATGATAGACTTATCATGATATGTTCTTCATAAGAAAGTAATTTATCCATATTACTACGACAAGAATTACATATGACATTTACGAAAATATATATTATATGTGATTTGTTTAACATGTATATGCACCTATGTATGTTATAAATTTATAATTAAATATCTTTATGTTTAATAATTGAAAGGATTAAAATGATGCATCGAAACCAATTATTTAGACGAATATAATAATAATAATAATAATAATAATAATAATAATAATAATAATAATAATAATAATAATAATAATAACATTTCCAAGTACCGCATTCATTTAAAACTCACACTACAACTCAAGAGTTTTCTAATTTATGTATATTTATTAGTTACAACTCAAGAGTTTTTAACTTATGATTATTAATTAGTAATCACTAATAAATTTTTATTTTTCTTTCTTTTATAAGGTTGTAAAGTTTTGCTCATTAAAAACATTAATGTATTTGAAGAGATTTGTCATTTAAATATGAAGAGTTAATATAAATGTTATTATAGATGTTTTAGTGTTTTTATGTTATTAAAAGTTATAGTGTTTATTTTTCATATTTTTTATTATTCGTTGTATATATATCTTTTTTAATACAAATGTTATAATAGATGTTTTTCTATTTTTATGTTACTAAAAGTTGTAGTTCATATTTTTGTTCATACGTTTTGTTACCCGTTATATTATCATTCATTTGATATATAATTTACACAATTTTAAACGGTTTATAAAATTATCAAATAGTTGTATATATCACAATGACTTAAAAATTAAACTATAATGTTTAATAAAACTAATATGTTAACTATATGTTTGCTTTACTACTAACATTTTGTTTCAAAGTAGAATTATTAAATAATAATTTGGTAAAAGTTATTATTTTAACTATATAATTCTATTCTCGCGCAACGCGCGGGAATTCGCCTAGTATACTTATAAATGAAGCATTTTTCCTTCCACCACATTCATTTGAAAATTCCATGACTTTTCAATTTCTTTTTAATAATAATTATAAGTTGTTAAATAAGGTTAAATAAATATCAAACCTAAAGTGTAATATATAAACTAAATTTCAATATTAAAATAATATCTTTACTTCTAAAGGAAACATTTTTCCTTTCACCACATTCATTTGAAACTCCCATGACTTTTCAATTTCTTTCTAATAATAATTATAAGTTGGTTAATAAGGTTAAATAAATATCAAACCTAAAGTGTAATCATATATAAACTAAATTTCAATATTAAAATAATATCGTTACTTCTAAAGGAAGCATTTTTCATTTCACCACATTCATTTGAAACTCCCATGCATTTTTCCTTTCACCGCATTCATTTGAAACTCTCATGACTTTTCAATTTCTTTCTAATAATAACTATAAGTTGGTTAATAAGGTTAAATAAATATCAAACCTAAAGTGTAATCATATATAAACTAAATTGTTCCAAAATTTTATCTTTAAAATGATAACAATTTACATTCAACAATATATTAAAACTAATAAATTAAGTATAATATGTTAAAAGTTAAAAAACTTAACTTTATAAGTAAAAGTAAAGATATTATCTTATCTTATCTTATCTTATATACTTATAAAGAAATCATTTTTCCTTTCACCACATTCATTTGAAACTCCCATGCATTTTTCCTTTCACCACATTCATTTGAAACTCCCATGATTTTTCAATTTCTTTCTAATAATAATTAAAAGTTGGTTAATAATGTTAAATAAATATAAAAACTAAAGTGTAATCATATATAAACTAAATTTCAATATTAAAATAATATATTTACTTCTAAAGGAAGCGTTTTTCCTTTCACCACATTCATTTGAAACTCTCATGCATTTTTCCTTTCACCACATTCATTTGAAACTCCCATGACTTTTCAATTTCTTTCTAATAATAATTATAAGTTGGTTAATAAGGTTAAATAAATATCAAACCTAAAGTGTAATCATATATAAACTAAATTTCAATATTAAAATAATATCTTTACTTTTACTTATAAAGTTAAGTTTTTTTAACTTTTAACATATTATACTTAATTTATTAGTTTTAATATATTGTTGGATGTAAACCGTTATCATTTTAAAGATAAAATTTTGGAACAATTTGTATAAAATACTTAAATTATTAATTTAAATATAACATTACAGGGTCAACTTTAATATAAATTTTATTTTAAATAAACAACCCAAAAAATATTTTGTAAATGGTTAAAAGTGATAAATTATAGTGTCTTTCTAATAATGATTATAAGTTGGTTAATAAGGTTAAATAAATATCAAACCTAAAGTGTAATCATAAATAAACTAAATTTTAATTTTAAAATAATATCTTTACTTCTACTTATAAAGTTATGTCTTTAACTTTTAACATATTATACTTAATTTATTAGATTTAAAATGTTGTTGTATGTAAACAATTATTAGTTTAAAGCTATAATTTTTGAACAGTTTGGACAAAATACTTAAATTGTTAATTTAAATATAACATTACAATGTCAACTTAAATATAAATTTCATTTCAACTTAAAAACCAAAGAATATTTTGTAAATAGTTAAAAGTGATAAATTGTAGTGATAAATGCAAAAACTAAATTGTAATCTAAATTTAACTAAAATATTTCCTAAATATATTTTTATAATCGTTAAAAGTTTTTCAAATAAGTAGCTTAAAATAACTTACAATAACAATAGTTAAAAATAACTCTATATAAATTATTATATTGTTACCTTTAAAATAAAAAAACAATGTTTGATGTTTTAAATAATATAAATTTCAGTGTCAACTTAAATATAAATTTCATTCCACTTAAAAAACCCAAAAAATATTTTGTGAATAGTTAAAAGTGATAAATTGTAGTGCTAACTGCAAAAAGTAATTGTAATCTCAATTTAACTAAAATATTTCCTAAAGATATATTTTTATAATCGTTAAAAGTTTCAAATAAGTAGCTTAAAATAACTTATAATAACAACAGTTAAAAATAACTCTATATAAATGATTATATTGTTACATTTAAAATCAAAAAACAATGTTTGATGTTTTAAATGATAATAATGATAGAAATTAAAACGTTAAGAAAATAAATTTTAAAAAATTAAATAACAATAACAACAACTATAAATGACATTAAACCATATATTATATTTAATTTGATTCATGAGTAACTCGCAGGTAGAACCATTCAAACGATTGAGATTATGCAGTTATAATAGATGTATATATTATTATATAATTCAAAATAATCAATATATTATATCAATTTAGCATACGAATAATTATATCAAATTTAACAACGTTAGTGTTATATTAAAAAAAACATATATTTATAAAGATTTCAACTATATTGGTGTTTCTGCGCAACGCGCTGACATTCGTCTAGTTGGTTTATAAAACTAAATGTATAAAGTTTGAAACTGTTTGCTTATTTGAAGAGTCCCAATTTTTTTGTTTGCTTAGAGCCTCTAAATTGGTTGAGCGGCGGCCCCTATTCCAATAATAGTGTATTTAAGTTTTTCAAAACGTGGCTAAAATATGCAAGTAGATTTATAATATTCGATATATTATAGGTAACCTGTTTGCAATTTGCGTCTTAATGTTGATAGACTCTAATTTCCATTTTTATTAACCATTACTTAAATAAATTAGGGAGGGGGGGGAGTAATTCAGTTGGAACCTTAGTTGAGGGTATAATCTAGCATGACTAGAATAGTTGAGGGTCAGGTATGGTAAGAGTAAAACAAAAGTTACTCCGTTACCTTTTGCCCCAGTTTTCGGCTGAGGATCACGACGGTGAATTAATTATACGCCACGCAATTCAATAAATTGCGTAAGTTACAAGAGATTCCGGCAAATCGTAAAACAATCAAGAATTAATAAAATTTAATTCATCAAATACAAGAATTATTTACATAGAATGATTTGTGTGAAAAGAATACTAAACAAACATCGACGAATTTCTAATCATAAAATTCCTAAAATCGTGATTTTATTGGTGGGTGGCGATCTCTAGTTTGACCTGTGGAAAAAGTCGGGATCTTTTGGTGGGGTGTGGGCTTTCGACCTCTTCATCGACGAATCCGGGAAGAAATTCTGGAAGAGCAGGGAGGTTCAGGTCAAACCCGCGTTGACTATTGGTGGAGCCGACTCCTTCCGATGAGGTGATGCCGCTGCTGGCACGGCCACCGCCGATAACACCTTCGTAGTGGCGCCTCTTGTGTCCACCCAACGCTTGTCCGGTAGGGAAAGATCTGTGGCAAATAGAGCACTCGTGACTCCTTCCACTTCCACCACCGTGGGTGCCACTAGTGGAGGAGGTGGTGGTTACAGCAGACTGTTCGATCTCAGCTCCGGCGGCGGCTGGGTTGTTTTTCCGGTGGCTAGCCTTGTGTCCACCTAGCGCCTGGTAAGACCCAAAAGCTTTATCACACACGTTACACTTGTAAACAACAGGTTGCGGCTCCTGCGGTACAATTATACTAAGAGCCGGTGAGTTAGCACGCTGCGGCGGCGCCACATAAGCAGAACGGGAACCAGAACCAGAACCACCACGGCCGCCGCGGGCAAGTAACATAAGACAGAAAGCAAGGTACTCCTCCTCAGTCGGTGGCTGATCCACCCTTGGCCTTTTTGATCTTTTGCCCTTTGTCCATGAGTCCAAATACCTCAGATGATTGCCGGAATCTTGTTTAAACAAAGGCGTGGTTGCCGTCGTCGGAGAATTTAAAGCTTCAACTGCCATTAGAATTGTAGTTGGTTGTTGTTTAGAAAGAGAAAGTTAGAGAGAGAAAGATGGATTGAGTGAGGAGAGTGTGGGTGGTGAGTGAAGTATATAAGGGAGGTTGGCGGTGGCGGGTGGTGCAGAGTTGACAGAAGTTGCGTGACAAGTTTCAGGAAAGTAGGCCAATTTGATTTATTATTATTACTTATTTTTGAAAATATAAGTGTGGATTCACACGTTGTGTGTGCGTTTTATGTGTAAAGTGTGTGTATTATTTTTATTATTATAAAAGTAAAATATTAAGAAAACGAGTTACTTAGATAGGAATAAAGAGTTATGATATATTAAACTTAATATGTTATTATCTTGTATACCACTTCCTTTTTATGATAAACATAACAATTAAAATTGAACATATACCGTCGACTTTTTGAATGTTTCTTAGATGACAAGTGGTGGTATCAAGTGGAGTTGAGTCAGCCTACAAAGAATGGACCAGAATCGGCAGTGAAGCTTCTACGTGTTGTCCTCACTATCTAAGGAGGGTTAAAAGGTAATTCCACCCCATCATTTTAGTTTTATTTTTATTTATTTTCTCATGACATGGAAATTCATGACATCAGCTACACGAGTTTAGTTTAGTTTTGCCAACTTAATTTATACATATTATACCTAATATTTTTGGAATAAATAAAATTTACATATTGTTTTTGGCATGAATGAAATATATCAAAGATATTAAAATAAAGATTAGAATATGTAAACACAATTAAATTACCAAAATAGCTTTTTGATTATTATGAGAAAATCACTCAAAACTCACGCTGTTTACAAAGTCTCTCAATAATCATAACTCGATTCTTGACAATGTATATATAATCCTAGATACCGACTTGTAACATATAATTAGGATACTAGCTTTAGACCGACTTGCCATAAACCAAACTTGTTATAAACTAGATTGTTTGGTCTCTAAGGTCCTATGTGATTTAGGATTCCAACAATCATCACCGAATCTCTAAGTCCTTCTAGAGATGTCTTTGATCCCGATCAAACTTTGCATTTCCTTGAACTTGGTTCGAGTTAGTGGTTTAGTAAGAATGTCCACCTTTTGTTCTTCATCGGTAATGTACTCCACCTCCACTTGTTCATTTTCAGAACAATTACGAATGAAGTGAAACTTTGGGTTGATGTGTTTACTCCTTTCATAAAAAACGGGATTCTTCATTAGTTCGATAGCCGATTTGTTATCAACTCTTAGAACCACCTTCTCTTGCACTTTGTTCATGATTTCTTCTAGCAAATCTTGAAGCCATATTGCTTGACATGCGGTCGTGGTGGCCGCCATGAACTTCGCCTCACAAGATGATAAAGCAACGTTATCTTGCTTTTGCGAACACCATGTTATCGGGGATAACCCATAGTAGAAAATATGACTGATTGTACTTTTTCCGTTATCCGGGTCAACATTGTAACTACTATGACTATAACCAGTGAGTCGGTTTTGTCCCCTCCTCTCGTACTTGATTCTGTATCCCGTTGTTCCTCGTAAGTACCTTAGGTGTGTTTGATTGCACCGTCATGTGATTCTCTTGGACATTGCATGTATCGGCTAACAACTCCAACTGCGTACGCCATATCGGGTCTTGTTTACAAGAGATATCTAAGGCATCCTACCACCTTTCAATAATGTGTCGGGTCGATTTCGGGTTCATCTTTTGCCTTCGACAATTTATTTTTCGGTTCCATTGGAATGTGGTTCGGATTGCAATCATGTAAACCGACTTCTTTTAGAATGTGTTGAGCATACACCTCTTGGTTTATAGTAATCCACGATTCTTCTAGTTTAACTTCAATGTCAAGGTAGTAAGTTAATCTTCTAAGATCCGACATTTCGAATTCTTTGACATCCCCATCTTGAATCCTTTAATCATGCTCAAGCTTGTACCAAACACAAATAAGTCATCAACATAAATTGCTAAAATCAACAAGTTATCCCCTTCATTTTCCCGGTACACCGATGGTTCTTTCATGCACTTTTGAAATTTCATGCTCTTGAAAATTCCATCAAGCTTCGTGTTCCATGCTCTAGGTGCTTGTCTTAAACCATATAGTGATTTTGTGAGGCGGTACACCTTATGCTCGTTGCCTTTCTTTATATAGCCTTCCGGCTGTGACACATAAACGGTTTGTTTCAATTCTCCATGCAAGAAAGCCGTTTTAACATCTAAATGATGAAGCTCCCACCTATTAGTAGCGCCTATGACTATGAGAAAACGGATGGTTTCGAGTATCACATCCGAGTTCGGTTGCTTGTCCGAAACGAATAATATTGTTCTTGAGATCCGGTATGTAGTAAATCTCCGTCATCAGCCTTTGTTGACCCTTCTTCCCTTGGAAAAGTATAACACATTTTCCTTTAATTTTTACACACGAATTATCTCCGAATTTAACCCTCTCGGTTACGCCTTCATCAAGTTCGGAGAAAAACGACCGATTCCCATCATATGATTACTTGCCTCGTTATCTAAATACCACACATCGCTATCTTGTGAGTCGTATCGAGACGATATCACTTTTTCTTCATTTAAGAACACGGTCTCGTGTAAAAATACGGTCGCATCATTATCGTTGCTTTCGGTAAAATTACTTTCTTGCAATTTTTGGATTCGATCCGGACATTGAGATGTGAAGTGGTCTGGTTTATCGCACCGATAACAAATAACTTTGGATCGGTCCTTCTTGGTTTTATTTTTGTTTGGGTCAGAATTGGGCTTGTGCGAATTGGACTTACCACCATGTAAGGTCCGATTCGTTTGTTTGGACCCACTTGCCCTGTTAAACCCCTTTTGTCGTCCCCTTTCCTTTCGATCGACCATGAGAACCATACGAACCACCACCACTACCGCCAGACAATTTCACGAACATAACCTTCGTCTGATTTCCATCGTTGACGTCTTCCTCCTTAATTCGCTCCTCATACGCTTTGAGCCTTCCAACCACATCCTCGAAGCCCACGGTTTTTAGGTCTACAACTTGTTCCAACGAAGCCACTATGTGAATAATTTCGCTCTCGGTGATGATTTGAGAAACTTCTTCACAAGCTTCATCTTATCATTTACTTCTCCTAGGGCTGCCGATTTTGAGGCTAATCCGAACAATTTTCCCGCAAAATTGTCAATCAATTCTGAGTCAGACATCTTCAATCGGTCGAATTCTGCCATTAGGGTTTATAACCTAGCCTCCTTCACACGGCCAACACCTACGTGTTTGGCTTTAACTGCATCCTACAGCGCCTTTGAGGACTCCACATCTCCGATTTGTATGATCAAAGTCTCCGGGATCGCTTGATACAACAGCCCCATTGCCAGGTAATATTTTTCCTCGTTTTCTTCTTCTCCTGAATCGATTACACTCCATGCTTTGTGGATTCGTAGCACCACCTTCATTCTCAGTGCTCACACTATGTAGTTTGTCGAATTTGGCATGGGACAGGCAACGACAGTCGATCCTACCTCCTTTGCCTTTACCGGAGCAGCTCCTCCTCCTCCTTCTCCTTCCGACATGTTGACCGCCTTGTCAACAAATTAGTAATTCAATCTCAAAGCCCTCTGTTCTTGGTTCTGATACCAATTAGAGATCAGAATATGTAAACACAATTAAATTAACCAAAATAACTCTTTGATTATTATGAGAAGAAAATCACTTAAAACTCACGGTGTTTACAATGTCTCTCAATAATCATAACTCGATTCGTTACAATGTATATATAATCCTAGATACCGACTTGTAACATAGAATTAGGAAACTAGCTTTAGACCGACTTGCCATAAACTAGATTGTTTGGTCTCCAAGGTCCTACGTGACTTAGGATTCCAACATAAAATATTTTTTTGAATATGAAAAAATTGGTACTTTTTATGTATTTGGTTAACATGAAATATCTTTGGTTTGTAGATTTATTAAAAATATTAGAAAGTAAATTATACAGTATGACAAAAATATATCTTTAGAGATTTTTTGAAACTTGTTAACAATTAAAATGACAATTAAGCACAATCAATTTCTGAAGCAATGATCATGCTTCTATGCTTCCAGATTTTCAGTAGAAAAACAAAAAGTAAAAATGTGAATAGGTAATTTGTTTTACCTACAAATTTTCTAGTCAATGCACCACATACATTCATTTTAAATTCTTTTATATATAGGTAAATTTCCACCACCCATCCCAATTGACCAATACACTCAATGTTAACATTCGATTTTTTCTTTCTTCCCATATTGTCATAACGTATTCAAAGTGTACATCTCATTGTGAAAACCATCACAAGTAAAAAGTTCAGAGAAACAGCAACAATGATAATCAATTTAAGCTGTAAGAAATCGAAGAGGACACAATGATGGTTGTGGAAGAGATATGATTAATTGTTGCTAAACTTTTGGAGAAGAGATAATCGTAAGCATGTTTTGATTTGTTGAAGTTGTGGCTAAAACAAAAGTAATTGAGAGTAAAATATCTGTCCATGGCCGAAGAATGAGCATTTGCAAATCATTCAATATCTGAAGGAAGATTGCTTATGTGGCTTTTGGTATTGATTTGCAAAAGAGTATTGAAAAACCAATGTGAAAACTCTTGGTTGTCTAAAAAAAATACAATTTAATATATAAATATGATTACGGTAGGCTGAATGCGGGTTTACTTGTCAAAAAATGCTTTATTTATCTAATATAACATAAGGACGAAATTAAATCTAACAGTAATTTCACTGCTACTTTTAGCGTGTTTGTTGTGTAACACTACAACGACACTTGGAAGCATCTGTAAAAGTTTTTTGGAGGAGGAAGAGATGTACAAAAGGAACTTTATATGCTAAAGGAATGATCTAAATAAAAAATGTGGAGTAGAACATTCGATTTGACCAAAAAAAACTTAGTCGGTTCACAATCAAGATATTGAAAGGAATATATTTTTATCACCACAAAGAAGCAAAATAGAAAATACTTAGTTTTAATTTTCAAAC